ACTGCCTTTTCTCTGCTGTATTAAATTTCCAGCAGACATCCGGCAGGTTACAGTCACCCACAAGAACAAGGGCTGGTGATTTTGAGACACCTGCCAGCTGCCTGTAGAATAAATCATCACCCTCATCGTCCTGATTGGGGGCCTGTAGCAGACTCCCACCAAGATGTCAGCCTTGTTGGCCTTCCCCCCAATTCTGATCCACAGGCAGTCAACCTTGTTGTTACCGACTTCAAGCTCTACAGAGTCAAGAGACTCTCTGACATATAGACCCACTTTCCTATTCCTCTTGCATGCTAATCAGCCAAAAGAGCCCTACATTCCCCTTCTGAGAATTAATACAACCTGTAAAGAAAGGATGTATGTGTAAACACATGCACACATCATATGTACATGTACATAACCCATGCAAATATGTGCCTATGTATGTATACAACTCCATGGCTATCCTTTCGAGAGCAAGAACAGCTTTCGGAAATGGAGGATTAGTTTAGGATCTCTAAGCCTTTCCACAGCATGCAACTCCATGCTCAATGCCATGAATGCTGACTGGTTTGTACTTCAGGAAAGACAGCTATTGTAAGGATGCTGTAGCCCACACTGTCTGCTCACATAAATTGGAATCACTCCATTGCAAGTCAATGGAGCTGCATCAATTTGCGCAAGCAGAAGAGCTGGCCAAATATGTACTAGTTACTTTACATTCTGAGAAGACAATGTTCATAATTGAAAGTAATACCAAATGCTCTTTGCAAATACTATGAATTATTCAGATTAAATATAGAGCCTTCAAATGACTCTATGAAATGTTCTAAACAGCTGTGCCTTGTAATTGGAACTGACTGGCAAACTGGAAAGTATTGAATGCAGTCTGAATATGACTTGATATCTGAGTACAATGAGTATAACACTAACCATATTCTAGAACCTCACTGAGGTTGTACTTAGTTTTCTACAAAATTTCTCCACAGGCCTTTTCTTCTTTGCAGCTGCAGCAATCCTAAGTGAAGCAGAGTGTGTAGCTCCACATTTGAGATATGAGGATTACATGTTCATTGATATGTAGAGCTCACACAGCACGAATGAGGTAGATGTTGAAAACAGGTCTGGAGTGGAAACAGTGACTTTTTACTATTTATGTACACTTCAGCTCCTAGAACAAAGTAATTTTTACTTTGCAGTTCTAGTTTTATTTTGTAAAAGCTAAAGAGGATTCATAGTGGAAACTGACTTGCAAACAACTGAAATTGTGGCTGTTTATTGAGGGCCTGTCTACTTAATTCAGAACAACTATGTCCCACCTTCAGAGGTTTGTATACCTTGTTTATATAACACATAGTTGAAGAGTGAAGTTTCATTTTCTGAAGTGGTGTGTTTAGGTCTCTGAAGTGTGAGAGTCTTATTCAAAAGTGAAAAGAGCAGGAAGTTCTCAGCATTTTCTGAAAACTGGGTCCTCTAAAATGTTTAAAAGTGGGAAGCAAAACTTTGAGGACATTCATTCATCAGCTGTTGTGGTTTATTGGTCAGCAACTAAGAACCACGCAGCTACTCACACACTCCCCCACCAACAGGATGGTGGACAGAATCAGAAGGGTGAAAGCTAGAAAAACTCAGAAAGCAAAAGCCACATACATGAGCAAAGAAAAACAAGGAATTAATTCACTGCTTCCCATGGGCAAGAGGTGTTCAGCCATCTCCAGGAGAGCAGGGTCCCATCATGTGTAGCGGTTACTTGGGAAGACAAATATCATCACTCCAAACATCCCCCCCTTCCTCCTTCTGCCTCCCACTTTATATACTGAGTATGATGTCATATGGTATGGAATATCCCTTTAGTCAGTTTGGACACCTGTCCCAGCTATGTCTCCTCCCAAGCTCCCATGCACCTCCAACTTCCTTGCCAGTATGGCAGTGTAGAAAATGGTAAAGACCTTGGCTCTGTGTAGGCTCTGCTCAGTAATAACAGAAACATCTCTGCATTATCAACCCTGTGCCCTGCACAAATCCTAAACATAGCCCCATACTAGCCACTCTGAAGAAAGTTAACTCCACTTCAGCCCAAACCAGCATATCAGCTTAGAAAATCTTGTCTTAAGAGCTTACTTTCAGTCAAGTTGTGTCCCAGTGTTGGCTCTTACATACCGTATTCTATGTCTGCAGTACAGTTACATATACTTTTTATTCATATATAAGGATAACCCTTAAACATACTAGTTTAGCTTCATCTTGATACCTCAGGACAAGCCCTTCCACCTTGAACTGTTGAAGCTCTGTTGCAGAAGGGCCTACACTGTGGGCTCTTCTCTCTGATTAAAAAGGAATGGGGCAAATAAGTGTCCAGTGAATGTTTGTGTAATGCTTGTAACATGGATTGTGATTGTAGGCAGCAATGCAGAATTGAAAAGGTTCTGTTCCTAGAGAAGAAAAGGCTTGGGAGAATCTTATCACTGTATATATACATGTTTGAAGGCATGCTTTAAAGAAGACAGTCTCTTTTCAGTGGTGCCCATTGACAGAGTAAGAGCCAACAGGTACAAACTAAACAAAGAACGTTCTTCTGAACATAAGAAAGCACTTCTTTACTATAAGGGTGACCAAGCACTGGCAGGGGTGGCCCAGAGAGGTTGTGGAGTGTCCATTGTTTTAGATATTCAAAAGTCATCTGGACATAGTCCTGGGCCCTGCTTGAAAGTAGACCTGCAAAGCTCCCTTTCCACCCCAACCATTCTGTTTTTCTGTGATACTGTGAGGGTAAGTTTGAAGTGCTCTGCACCATTTCTAATGATTGATTGCAGCGTTACCTGTTATTAGCACAGACCATCAATTTGATGTTATATGTACTTCTAGGAGGGTTTTTTTGACACAGCATCCTAGGACACTTTTCTCCAGGTCATCAAAATACATAACACATGGTTGCTCAATCATAAAGCTTTCAGGCTAGACATTATTTCAGCAACTGAGTGTAAATGTCACACTCTGCTGTAGACATGTTCCCATTCTTTGGCAAGAACACTGTGTAAGGCAAAGAAATTAACAACCTGAAAAACAATGAAGGAAAAATCACAGCATCAAGATGCACTTTTGTTTTTTGTTGTTTTGGGTTTTTCGTTGTTGTTGTTATCCCCACAACTGCTACCTACAAACCAAAGTAACTGCTGGACAGTTTGGAGGATGTGTACTCAGACTGCCTTAGGAAACAGACATCAAGACAGATCAATAATGAAACAGCTAATGCACCCCTTGAGAAAGAGGTACCTTCTCTTATTTAATTTGACACATTTTTCTGATATGTCCCTTATTCCAAATACTTCCAGAAGCTTCTGACAACAGGCCTGTAGGCAGGGTGTGAACAACACATTGCATCATTTTATTACTTATAGTACCCCAAAGGCCACAAATTCCCAGAGCTTATAGGATTAAAAAAATAATAAATAAAAATAAAGGTGTAGAAATTTAAAGAGACCTTATCAATACCATGCTTTTTCTGGAAATTGCTGTAGGTTCCCATTGACATATTCAGGTACCTTAAACCTTTAAGCATCTGGGATAAGAGCTTGATTTTTCTCTCTTTCACCACAATGTTGTAATGATTTCCATGGTGTTGTATCAATATAAGAAATTGAGAGTTAAATCTTAGTTATTTCAACTGAATTGTATTCCTTATTTGTAAGATAACCACATTTCTGAGACTACTGTTGTGTGCAGCAAATGCACATTGGACCATATAATCAACATCTAATTAGCCATGCTTCATGTTATATTTGCTTAATGTTAACTTTCTTAGAGCGATAATTTTTTCCTTTATCCATTATAGCAGTTGAATTTTAATTACATTACCAACAAAAAGCTCATTAACGTCACATAATTGGCAGTGTTTCCAAAAAAACCTGAACTAATTGAGTATTTTCTGAAGAGTTCCCATCAAAGTATAATTTAACCATTACAAACAGCTTGGCAACTACATTTACATAAAGATGTATTTGAGGAATGTTCTCATGTGTGGAAAATCAGATTTGATATTGCCATTAACAAACGAAGGAAGCTGTTACATAGCAAATCACTTCCACATTTTAATTATTTTGGCTAAACCTCATGTTTTTTTCAAGAGAGTCAAATGAAACCTCTTGCTTTTCCACAAAGAAGCAGCAACCAATCTCTGACTGAGAGTTAGGAAACAGCTTGGTTTGTGGGAAGGCAACACGATCTTTTTCAGGTTATTTTGTACTCTCAACAGCTAATAGCAGAGATAAGATACTGTGTTAAACAGGTTCTTATGCAGTAGACTAACTCAGAATTTTTTAAACATGGGAATCATTTAATCTACAATGGATCTCCTGCCAATTATCTTGTTCATATTCTTATATTATAGCAGGACAGATTTAATTACTAATCAAAAAGAATACAAGCATTCCAATCATTATTAGCTTCTAGCATTTTTAAAAGACTCCCTGAAATAGTTTCACTAGAAGCAAAGCAAAGAAAGCTTGCATAATTCTTTGATCCTTCTCCTCCAGTCTGTGATGAATGACATGGAGATTAAGTTGAATGCTGAGGTGATGATTAGAGATTAAAAACAGGCTAAGGTGGCTTGTGTATTTTGAATACAGGGAGAAAAAACACTGAGATAAAATAGTTCTCATGAATGTCCTGCTTTCATGTTTAAACCCGAACATTGAGAGTTTTGCAGAACCAAGGTTTCAAGTAAGAGTAGAATAAAATTTGAACACAGCATTCAGTACTCTCAGGAAGTATCCAAAATTCAGTTTTAAATACTGTGTAGCTTTGCTTGGATTCTTTTCAAGAAATTGGAAACAAATTTTGAGAAACTGGTTCTTGTTAGGATGCTAATTAGGTACTTGCACTGCTTTCTTTGTCCTTTCTCATTTGATAGTTGCAGTTAACAAATGCAAGCATATTAATCTGTCAGTGTGCCTTTGCAACAAACCACCTATCTTTGGACTGCAAAATGGAAGTTTGAGCAAGTTGGCAATAAATGTGCATGACATTTTACATTCTGATTTTATTTTTTCTATCAAACAGGTGTTAAATGTGTCAAAACATGTATTACCATAACATTTGCCAATATACAATATCAAAAATGGATGTAAACATTGTTTAAAACTTCAAAGTTCTTGTTATCAATTCACCTGTAACTATATAACTTGGTCATTATTATCATTGCATTCTCCCAGAGTTGTCTCAGATGTCTTAGCATACTCTGAATAGTCTACTTATTCTGGCAAAGAAAAACATTGCTTGAGGAAGTGGGTCATATGTGTGTAGAGATGTTTGCTGGATAGGCCTGGAATTCCATGGTTCTGGTCAGTATACCACTGGGGAAAAAAAAACCAACACAAAAACCCATAAATCCCCTATGTTATGTTTTCAATTCTGCAAGAGTTAGACAATACAAGACATGTATTTTATTACCATGTAGAAGAAAGTGGATGCCTTAAGAAAACAAAGGGACTTGGTAATTTTTTTCATCAGTTTCTTGTATATTAATATTCTTGCTGAAAAAAAGTTTCTAAACCTTCTGAAGTCTAAGAGTAAGCATTACTGCCTTAGTACTTACAAGTCAATTGTATCAGCTTTGAGACGCCCTTAGGGATGAAATGTCCTTGACCTGCTGCATGGCCTGGGCAACAGGGGTCACAGTCTTGCTTAGAAATAAATATTGGGCCCTAAGTAACGAACTTGCAGCTAAATGTGGAATTCTATTCAAAACATCTTGCATTACAGCAGGGCCATGAGCCATAAACATTGTGAATGGTGTACTGGAAATAAAATATACATATGGATTATGCTAACTCTAAGCAGTGTCTGCCATTCCACTGTAGCAGAACCAGAAGGGGTACAACTGCATACAGTATTCCAGATACTTGAGAAATAACCCAGATTTGCTACACATCAGTGAAGGAGGCAGAAAATGTGGGAAACACAAAAGGGCCTATAAACCCCAAGTATTGGGAGATCCCTCTGTGCTCTCTTTTTGGGAAGTTCACAGCCCTGTGAAATTTCACTCAGGCAGAAGACCAGTAGGTTTGGTAGCAGGCAAACACTTTTGTTATTAGCCCTAAGACAAAGGGTCTGGAGGGAGAGCTTAGCATGTAATTCAGAACTACTTTCCCCCTGTTCATTCCTCATTTATATCCTGTAAATTCTTGCCTATGTGTTCTCTCTTTGCCTGTATCTCCTACCTCCTACCTCTCTTTTGCAGAGAACAGCTTTGTTGTTGGGGGTTTTCTTTTGCTTTTCTTTGTTTTTTTCTGATCCTGGATATACAACTTGGATATCTCATACCCTTTTTACCTATTTCACCTTGTGCCTGTGGCAGGCAAGTCCAGTTCAAGACAGAATCTATCAGAAGCACTGATGATTTTGGCCCCAGAAGCCAGTTCCTTCATCTTCCTCTTTTATTAGCTATCAGCATCATTCATAGGGAAGCTAGATTCTTATTCTTCTCCCTGGCTCATTCTAGAAGCCTCTAAGCTATTCTTGACAAGAGAAAAATCCTTCTAGCATCCAAAGGGCAAGAAAAAAAAAAAGAGCAGGCAAATCCTTTGGGGAAGAAATTGAGAAATTGTTTATGAAGAATAAAAAATGTACTAGCAATTGCCAGATTTTTGAAGCATGTTCAGTTGAACTGGGTTATTAAAAACATTGCCAAATGTCAGATAAGCTTATTGATAAAGTTATAAACTACTGTTCAAACTGGAAAATAGTCTGTTATTTACCATTGCCTGGAAATCCACCTGTGCATTAACCAGAGCTTTTGCAATTTGTGCTGAGTTCTGAAAATGTACATTATCTAAAAAAGGAAAAAAAAAGAGACTGGCTGTCAAAACGTGTAAATACCACAAAGCATGAAGTTATAGTGCATTAAGTTGTGTCCACTAATTATTAAGTGATACAGTTGACATTACTAAAAATGAGTAAGCATCTTATGTCATATGGAAATCTACCAAAGATCTAAGTACTGACCAAAGGCACAGATAGATGCTTAATGTTTTTCAAACAAAGTGATTCTGGCTCTGTGTTTGTTCTGCCATTTGCAAACCTCACCATCTGCTGTTCCATGGATGAGAAGATACTCTACATTTTGGAAATTCTTTGCTCTTGCCATCACAGTTGAATTCTGTTGAGAGGAAATAATGAACAGTTCAGCAACTTCAATTTAAACCACTTATTCACAGTGCTGAAAGGATTTCATTACCTAGTAGAACAACAAATCAAGCAGTTGGACTGACATAATAACAGCGGTGACTTCATATCAATTTGAGATTACACTAGAAGCCATACATATATGGCTCTACAGAGGGATCTGGACAGGCTGGATCTGGATCCATGGGGCGAGGCCAGTTATGTGAGGTTCAACAAGGTAAAGTGCCTATGGTCCTGCTCTTGGGTCACAACAACCCCATGCAGCACTACTGGCTGGGGGAAGAGTGGTTGGAAAGCTGCCCAGTGGAAAAGGACCTCAGGGTGTTGGTGAACAGATGGCTAAACATGAGTCAGCAGTGTGCCCAGGTGGTCAAGAAGGCATCCTGGCTTGTATCAGAAATAGTGTGGCCAGCAGGACTAAGGCAGTGATCATCGCCCTGTACTCAGCACTGGTAAGGCCACACCTCAAGTACTGTGTCCAGTTCTGGGCCCTCACTACAAGAAAGACGTGGAGGTGCTGGAGTGTGTCCAGAGAAGGGCAGTGAAGCTGGTGAAGGGTTTTGAGCACAAGTCTTACGTGGAGCAGCTGAGGGAGCTGGGGATGTTTAGCCTGGAGAAAGGAGGTTCAGGGGGACCTTATCACTTATTACAACTACCTGAGAGGAGATTGTAGAGAGGTGGAGGATGGTAACAGGAGGGAGGAAATGGCCTCAAATTGTGCCAGTGGAGGTTTAGATTGGATATGAGGAAAAAGTTCTTCATGGAGAGGGTTGTCAAGCATTGGAACAGGCTGCTCAGGGAAGAGGTTGAGTCACCATCCCTGGAGGTATTTAAAAAAGAAATGTAGATGTGGCATTTAGGGTCATGGTTTAGTGGTGGACTTGGCAGTGCTGGGTTAATGGTTGGACTCAATGATCTTAGAGGTCTTTTCCAAACTAAATGATTCTATTATTCTGTGATTCCTTGACTTTGGCTTCAGGACAGGCATACCTATAAATAAACACTGTTTTTTAAAAATAATTTGAATGTCTTATGAAAAGCACTACCAGGAGAAAGAAAAACAATCTGCCCCATATTGTCATGATGTTTGCCCATAGGAGATCCATGTGCAAGCCTGGCTTGCAGCAGGTAGCTCTGTGTACTATCACAAGCATCTCTATGCTATCAGAAACAGATATGATATTTAGTGCCTTTACTAATGGCCAATTTATGAAAAGCACAGCACTAGCCATGTGTCATTCCCTGAATGCTATAATTCCTGGCTTCCCAGACACTTCTGCCAAGGCTGTTTATTATTGAGCATTTCTGTTCTTTGAGTTGGGATGGAAATATGTACTGAGAACATGATGCAAAATCTTTAACAGGAATCTTTCCACTAAGTTCTTTGGGCATTAATTTGGGCCTCTCTGTGTCTGGAGCTGGTATGTGTGTTGCTAGAGGAAACTACAGACTTCCTATCAATGTGAAAAGGAGAATGGCAACTTCTTCCAGGTAGTGGAAACTGTTCTGACCATTTAGCATGCTTATGATCCTATTATCAGAGAGTTAAATTTGCATGAAGTAGTTTGCATACCACAGCTATTTGTACCAATGAAACCTTAGCAACACTGATATTTCATTCTCACTTGAGTTCTTTCCTAGGCTAATGGTTTGCACTGACAGAACTGTCTGACTTGCCCAAGTGAGAAAATAAGGACTTCAATTTAGCATTTTGGGGATTTCTAAATACAAAACCATAATTAATTATGGAGATAAGAATTGCACAGCAGTAGCTTAGCTACTACAGGACTTTCACTATGAGAGCTGGTGGGTCATTTTCTTTCTTCACAGTTCTACTTATCCATGGAAGAGTGATTCAAATTTAATTCTCACCTTGTAGTGCTCCAGATTATCAGACTCTACAGGAAGACCCATAAATCGTTCTGTGTAGATAGATGCTGAAATATTAAAGAAGAAAAAAGCTATAGATAAAGAAAGTACAGATATGTTTGTGACTTCGGTGACACAGAAAATTAAATTATGTTTAACTGTGTCTGTTCTGCTTGTTTTCCTCCTAATATGCCATATTTAAACATATTTTTAAAAAACAACTATGAAGGCTAATTAATAACTGTCCTCCAAACCATCCTTGCAGAAATAGTTTGATAATGATTTGATACTCATCTGTGGAACCAACAGAAGGTTTTGTGGATAAAGGTAATGAATTGATACTACTTTATGCTGTTGGGTTGAACTCTAGAAGTCAGTTGAACAAGCCAATGAGCTAATAAAGGTGCATGGTGGAAAGATGACACAGATTAATTTGGACATCTTAAAAAGAATTTGAGGATTTCTATGTGTATATACAGTAAATATGGATTGTATGTTGTCCTTTTCCTATTGAATACAGAAACTAGGGGGAGCAGGAAACTGAAAAAGTGGCCCATTGCTGTTCAGGTCTCTGTTGAATTCCTTTCTTTAACTACAACAAAGACTGTTCACAGATTTGACAAAGTATATATGAAAAACTGAACAGTATCTTTCACCAAGAAATCAGTAGGAACATCTATCTTTCCCTGCCTGGGTATTTGTACTTTAACTAAGAGCTGTTATGAAAATTTATGGAAAACTGACACAGCAGCTGTCACTACCAGAACACTACTTTTTTTATGACCTTGCCTTGAAAAAGTAACTGACACATTGAGCAGTCAAGCTGCAGCATTATAAGAATTTTATTTATTTAATGAAGTCAAGACTTCGTGACAAAGAAGTGCTGGAATCTTTCTCTCTCATAAGAGAGGTGATGGCCATTGTAATCATTAGGGAATTGGTATTGTCTACCTTGTTGTCCAGTTTGGTACACTGCATTAGAATAATTTCATTAAAAGTAGAAATGAGCATCCTCCCAGGAAAGGAAAATGATTCTATACTCTTATTCCCATGGTTTATTATATAGTGTTTACATGTGCAATCACCAAGTGCTAAAGATGCATACTATGTCTCCCAGATCAGCCAAGAAAGGTTTCTAAAGATAATTTGTAAAAAACGAAGTACCAAAAAACATGCAAGTAGCCTATCTTTTATCAAAATCCTTTATCATCCCATGAAAACAGAAAATGTGCAATATCTGTTGTCAACACAGTGTCAAACAACCATATTGGGCTTAAGTTTTCAATAAAATAGACTCTTTCTGAATGGCTGGCATTTCTTCAGTATACTGAGCCAAATTCTCCACTCTCTCCTACCAGTGTAGCTACAACAAGTCCACAGAGGTCAGCAGAATTGCATTATAATGACTAAGTAGAAGATTCATCTTGTCAATTATTGAGAAATGAAAAGGAGATAAATTTAAATAAATTTTAATGAAACAGTCACAGATCTAATGCTTTTAACTATACATTGTTCCTGAATGGAATTTCCCTTTCCATCTTATAACTGTTCAGCTGTTATTAACTCTGACTCAAAATGGAGGGGGGTAGGATGGCTTCTGGGAAAAGACTAAGGTCCAGAATATCATCTGTGCATTTAAAAGAGGGTGGGACAGAATTTAGATGCTCTAGAGACTAGTATATTCTCTGACATACTTATACTACTTGGAGGCTCCAGTATGTAGCATCCTGTCGTTTTGCCCCTAACACAGTTCACCCTAATGTTAAGATGATCTGCTTGCCAAAACTTATGACTCATGACTTCCTTCTGTTTCCTTCCTTCCTTAGTGGAGGTACATTTGCCTGTTTGGATTTTACAATGTGTTTTTAGAAAGATTCTTTAACTCTCTCCTGAAAATTCAGCTACAGTAAAGATTGCAATGGTGCAGGACTAATCTACTTTAACTGTAAAACTTCATTAATTTTTAATGCTTGGACAAATTTTTATAACTCTTGTTTTACTGAAGGACTTCTGAAAAAATAGTGCTTTATGCCTGCATTCTGGAAATAATTTTGCGATCATGAGTAAAAAGTCTTTAAAAAAAATCTTCATGCCAGTGAAAACATGAAGACTATACTTCCTGTGTCATACAAATATTTTCCCCTTTGTTTGCAAAACACCATAAATACAAGGAATGTCTGTGCTAGCAGTCAGGGAAGGAATCTTTCCCATTTAACCAAAAATCTTTCTCATAACCAAGACTTCTTAGCAAACGACCATATGCTAAGTAAATGTGTTCAAAGTGCTACATTTTACTCATTGAAAACACGCATGCCATGATTTTTTTTTTACACTAAGGTTCCTTTACACCATGCCAAAAGCTTAACAGGTCTGCAAGTATGAGTATGTGCTTGCTTTATTCTCACAGGAAGGCTCTGGGTGTATCCCAGAGTTGTTTCCTCTGAGCGGTTTGGAGCCTAATTCAAAAACATAAATAAAAATATGTATTGTAACACAACAACACAGAATGTGTGGCTGAGAAACATTTAAAGGGGAAAATATTTAATAAAAAAAAATCACACACAACAGTCCCTCCCTCTCTTTTCCACTGCTTTTGGGAAATGTCTTTGCAGTCATCAGAGATACTGATTCCTGACAGAGGTCATCATCTGAAGTTGAAGTGCACTTTGATTCCACTATTGGCAGAAAAATCAGTTCAGCTATTTCTGAACTCAGCGATACTGGAATTTTAGGAAGATCACTCCTTACTATAGCAGTTTATTGGGAGGGCTTTACAAACTTACTGTTACAGATGTGTATATGGAATTATCGAGGCATATCGTATCCTATGCGACAAAGTCTGTTCCAAACTGCCACTTGCAGTCAGTTATTTTCAGCAAGGAGAACATTAAACCTAGGGTCTTAAGAGTTTTATGTCTAGGTAATTTCACTGTCTTTACATTTCAAATTGCCACCCTCCTGCAATGATTTAATCTAAAAAGTAATTAAATGATACATCTTGCTTTCCAAGTCAGTATTTATGACAAGATTCCATACCATAATATTCCCAGCTGGAAACAGGAGCCACAGCCATTCCACATTTAAATAGGCCACTGCCAGATCCAAGTGCCAAAGAAGTTACATACCCGCCATAGGACTAGGGAGAAATCACAGACAGTTAAACATTACTGGTGACATTCATTCTGTTTTCTGAATCAAACTCATATAAATTAATTTCAAAGTAAATATTTTGCTTTGAATGCATGGAGGACAAAGCAACAAAAGCTTTTCAACTTTTTCTATTAATTTATTATTTCAAATGGATCTGATGTGATTTCTTGTGAGAGAGATTAGACAATTTTATTGATTCAGTTCTTTGTTGCTACTTCTTCAATGCTTATTACAGGATACTCTTGTTGCCATTTATAATCATAGAAAATTGAAGTTGGTATGGTTCCTCAAGGTAATCTAATGCAACCTATATCTCAAAACAGGGCTAACTTCAGATTTAAATGAGGTTGATCAGAGTCACATCCATATCACACAGCCTCTCTACTGAATCTGTTACAATGGTGATTACTGTCATCATAAATGTTTTTTCACAAAACTGAAATAAAACTACCCTTGTGGCAATTTGTGTTCACTGACTCTTATTCTTTCAATGTGAACCTCCAAGAAGAGTTATAGGTTGTTATAGGCTGTTCCCTCCCTTAACAAGCTCCCTAGTTATTTGCAAATGATCAGCATATTGAACCAACCCAAAAGTCAGTACTAAAAGACTCAGTTACTTGAGAACTTGTGGTTGGAGCAATTCCTCCCTACTGCTTGACACTGTTCCAGTTACTTTTTGGCCTGATTACTCAAACTTCAAGGAAGAATAGCCACAGGTTAAGTAAAGCAATAAATGAGCCTGGATATCAGAACAGATCTGTGAAACTGTGCAGGGCTAGTTGCTGAAACAGGAAAATACTGTAAATAAGAAGCATTTGGTTTGACTCTCCATAGGATGTGGAACTGGTGTTGGAAAAACTCGTATAAGGTGTTTGGGAAATAACAGGTTATTGTTTACTCTAGAATTGAGGGAGGGATAAAAATACAAGGTGTGTCATGAAGAATTCTCACTAGCATATGAAAGACTAAGGGAAAGAAGCAGAACTATTAAGGGTTCTTTTTGTACAAAAGTAATTTAGTCCTTCTCTCCTCTTGACATTCCAGCTTGAAATGACAGTGAGAAATATGCTAATAAATCTTAGAATTTTTTAATCTCATTTGATTTCCTCATTTCATCTTTAAAAAAATCACTCCACAAGGCTAAAAAACAAAGGATTAGGATCAGGCAGATAAATCACTGTAACAGGCAGAGATAGAGCTCAAAACCCGAATTGCTTTAGAGGTTATTTAAGAGTTTTTGCAATCCAGAATAGTTTGGTGAGTCTGAAAGTATGACTTCATGCATACCTGCGAAACCTCAGGCTATAAATAAAGAAACACCTCTCAACTCCTTTCAAAGCTTACATACCAGGAAATGGTATAACAAATAGAAAAAAAAAATTATGATAGGTTTGGCAATAGTGCCATGATTTGAATATTACATATGCTACTGGGATACAATGCTTAAGATGCATGCAAGCTCTCAGTTGGTTCTGGAAATACTGTGGTGAAATAAAATATGATGTGATTAAAAAAATAAAATATTTTCATGTGGTCTTAAATTACTTAATGTCACTTTAGAATTACTCACTTGTAAGTGTCTGTGTCACTTAATTTCACCATATGGTACCCCTTTTATTCTGGTGTTATAGCAGTGTCTGACCAAAGTAATTTAAATATCAGTTTGTAGAAGCTTCATAGAAAGATTTTAGCAACCCTGCTCATGTGCTATCTAAGATCAGGCAATTTCTATATTTACAGTTGAACTGAAACTTACAGGATCCATCCTCTAGAGTGTTTCTGAGCAAGCCTTTTACAATGAAACTGGGCCAATGAAAACAAATAAACAAACAAAAACCATAAAAAAAGTTAAACAAAACAAACAGTGACAGATCAGAAGAAGTCTCCTGGCAAAGACAAGCAGTTAAAGAGAATAAAATAAAAGGTCTTTCTGAATGATAATTAGAGAAAAATGATCATGTATAAGGAGCAATGTACTGGAAAATGTTAACGAGTGTCTAACACTAGTTTATTCCGTAAGTTTTTTTAGTTAGTACAGCCTGTTACTGCTGGATTGCTGATACTGATTTAGTCATAGAAGGAGTTAAGTGTGGCTGACGCAGGTCTGGCCTCCAACCCCCATTAGCATTCCTTATAGTACCATCTAAGGATGGTACTATCCATGAGACCCTCAGGTGTTGCTTATCAGCTTGTTCTCCCACACAGTATAATTCAGTTACACCCAAGCGGCTGAAGTGGGGTAGGGGGCAGGGCTGCAGTTCTGTCTATGCATTCTTGATCCAGCCATTCATGATGAACTTCAGAAATTGATTCAGATGGCCTAAACATCTTACAAATCTCTCTAAAGGGGCTCTATGGCAATTGTGCTGACACTGAGGATGCTTTCAGCTCTCCCATAAAACTACTAATAGCTCTGCACCTCATTTCTATGAATAGTCCTACTTTGAAGTTGACAGCACCAAAATAAAGAACTCCAACTATTCCAAAAATTTATTTTTCTCCTATTAGAATGTCATGCTATTCTAAAATTTGTACTTGAGGTATGCTACTCTATTTCTCAGTGCCTAAGGTTAGTGGAATCTGTCCATTTTACTAATAAAGACTTGCAATACATCTGGCTGTTACAGGTTCTGGGAGTGTTACAAAGCAAAGTACATGAAAAAATCAAAGATGAAAAATTGACTGGCTAATAATTTGGAATGACCCCCATACTGTCCAATTTTTCCACTTCTTGGTGAAGCTGTCAATGCTGAACACCTTTCAGACCCACATTCATCCCTACTGACCATTTCAGAGCCAGCCAAGTACACAGTGATTCAGAATAATGCAAGGGTCACATTTTCTGTTGAGAGATGGTCATAGGACTTTTCTCATTATTTCAATTCCAGATCAGAAAAGACAATACTTGAATTTTGGCACCATTCCAGCAAGTCCCTAAGTTAAAAGTAAAGCCAATTAAAATGTGTCAATTTGGCACAGCTTCAAGTTGAAACAATGTATGAGACATAAGCTTTTCAAAATTCCCTCTGGAGCTGCCAAAGATTCTTTTTTTGGGGGTTTCCACTGTTGTACTGTTGCACTTGCATATATAGGCACCAAAAGGAACTATCCCCTTTGGCAACACCATGACACACAGGTAAAAGAAACTTTACATAGATTTAGAACAGAATGAGGAAGAATTAAAAAAATTATACTCCAGGATTATTTAAAGACAAATACAAAACACCCAACCACTTACCCAGCCCCATATTGCTACTCGTTTCTCATCTATAAAGCCCATTTCTATAAATTTCCTGCAGAAAAGAAAAACACAGAAATAAATGCATTATTGCAAATGATTGCTAACACTATAACAATGTAGCAAAAAATAGTTTTTCTTTCATTTTCTTCCCACATGTCCCACCAATTTGAGCAAACTGACAATCAGCATAGAATGTCTGATTTCTACAAAGCAGCAATTATTTACTTAATAGATATTTTAGAGGAAAAGGAAGAATTTTTCCTGAAAGAATAAAAAATGTTAATACTTTCATCATAATAATTTTTGTTCCAGTGGATGAGGACTCTGTCCAATTGGTTCCTTGGCAAGAAAAGTTCTTTTTTTGTTCTTATCTGTAGAATCCACCTGGTTCATAGAAACACAGAGCCATCAAGGTTGGAGCAGACCTTTAACCATTAGCCTGGCACTCCACTGTAACCCCTAAACACTAAACCGTATCTTCCAGTGCCAGATCCAGATGCTTCTTAAACACTTCCAGGGATGGTGACTAATCCACTTCCCTGGGCAACCTATTCCAATGCCTGACCACCCTCACAGTGAAAATTGTTTTTCTAATATCTACTCTGAATCTCCCGTGCCTCAGCTTATGACTGTTCCCTCTAGTCCTCTCACTACAGGCATGGCAGAAGAGACCATCCCCCACCCCTCTACTACCCCCTCTCAGGTGGTTGTTAGAGAGCAATGAGGTCACCCCTAAGCTGCCACTTCTCAAGTCTAAACAAACCCAATCCCCTCAGCCATTCCTCATATGATGTTTTCCAGACCTTTCATGAGCCTCATTGCCCTTTGCTGGACTCGCTCCAGTACCTCAATGTCCTTTTTAAAGTGAAGGCCCCAAAACTGAACACAATACTAGAGGTGTGGCCTCACCAATGCCAAGTACAAGGTTATTCAGCCCAGATGAGATTAAACCTCATACATTGTACTCATGCTGTACATATATATGTGTGTGTGAGTATGCATATGTATAGACACACACACATATGCAGAGCAAAAAGTTAAAAAAGTGTACTTCTACTTTTACCTTTCATTTCCCATAGCTGTAACATCCAACAGGGTATTAGCATTTTCATTGCTTTAATGCCAAAGGTGCTGGATTACCATTAAGATTTACACTTTATCCTGTAAGATGCTCAACATACTCATGTCACAATGAGTTGATGCTCTGATCTCTCAAGAAGCACACTATCAACGTCTGAGATTAGAGATTCCCTGGAGAAATAAACTTTCTTTTTTAATGTAAAAAGCTCATAATACTATAATTTAAAAAAAATGATGGAAACATCTTCTAGTGCTCCAAGTAGATAATAAGACTGAAATGTATGAAAGGTGCACCTTGCTTATGAACTCTGTAGTCAACAGGTCAAAGTGAATCATAAATACTAGGTCTCCTACAAATATCCTGCATTGGAGTCTGAAGATTGTATTTCCAGAGCTGTATTAGCAACAGCAAAGAGGATGAGGCAGAAGACCACAAATGTTCAAGAGTGACGGATAAAAAAAGATAGGTTCAGACACATCCCAGGACACACATTTAGCTTTATTTACTAGGAAAAGCAAGAGTGACTGACAACACCCAAAATGCGGGATACTGTCTGGGTGGGACAAGGTTAGAAAAGCCAAAAAATGATTCAGTTTTGTTATATGACTGTCTTAATCCCTGGGGAATCTTCTACAGTAAAAACCCCTCCAAGAACATCTCACTAGAGTATAGGATCCTGACTAAAAATCATGCATCTTAAACAATGTGTTAGATCAGGAAGATGGAATGCACTACTGTTAACTGAATAAAAATTTAGTCTAGGTGCTGGCAGCAAACTGAGAAGTGTGAAGTCTGAGGTCATTTCTTCATGGCCTGTCTCAGCAGATTTTGCAACTGCAGAACCAATTTAGGTTCCCTCCATCTCTGACATTTTATGTCTGAGTGACAATTCAGAGTAATAGAAGAGATTATGCTGCTGCTCCTAAAAGTTTCAAGAAAGAAAATCAAATAACAGTTTAACAGAAAAAACTGATATGATATACAGCTATTCTGGATCATTTATCACTGAAAGGATAATGGTGTGTTTATATCATTGAGGAGGAAATGAATTTTCACAAAGCAGAAAGAGGAAGAAACAGATATCCTCCTTACACACACAATGTGTGTGAGGCAATGTTCTCAAACAAGTAAAGAAAGCTGTGAAAACCTCGACTGCTACAAACAATTTCTGCCTAAGATACTCAGTCAGGTCTGAGAGAAAGACCTTATTTACTGTTGCAACTGGAAATCTATCCATACTCTGATGGGCCAATTTCCAGACCAAAGGCTAGACTAAATTCTTTATTCCTGCCTTGCATTCATCTCTGTGGGGTTCAAACTAACACTTCCTAAAGTGTTCACTTTTGCAGTGCCACTCTATCTAGAAGATTAACAGACAGCCTTTCTTTACAATCCTCAGCTTTTGCTTCCTCCCAAAACCTCTTCATAGGGAATTATTTTCCCTTGGAACACTTTCAAGTGTTTTGATGCAAAGGAGCAACTGTTGGTGAACACCCATCAGGAGAACTCAGGCACTTTCTGTTGTTCCTAGCTATCCTAAAATAGCACAGCATGAAGTTTATGAGTAACTGACCTCCAGAAGGTTTGTGTCAGTTCAGTTTTGCAAAAAACTTCACATTTGACCTTTAGCTAATCAGCGTGGTACATCACTATGGATTGTTCGCTAAGCTCTCTGTTCACTGTGGTAGGTTTCCCCTATAGGGAAAGCTTCAGAATAATGGATAATACATTGGCTTACCTCTCACCACTGACATTTGTATTTCCTTAGGCCTAGGACCAAAGCTTCTGATGATGCTCTATTACAATGGAAGTGGTCAGGTCCAAATGTGGACTTCGTGGTATATGGACTTACTATACTACACAAAACCTCACTGACATTGAGCAGAGAGTAATATTTTTACAAGCTCTTCAGAAGAAAGGCTCAGAATTTAATATTTTTTTTCACGTTACTAGTTCTAGGTATGTAAATACACCAGTTATACAGGGAGATAGTCTACTTACTTCACTGCTGAGATCTGGTCCTCAACTTCATAGACTCCAAGTTTTCGATATACTGCATGCAAAACCTTGTCACCTTGATAAGCTGTTCCTCTGCCATCCACTAAAGCAACAATAATTCCCTCTTTGCTTGCAAGATAGGTTATCCAGCTAATGCTAAATGTTTCCTTTACATTCTGACTGCAAGGTCCTCCATACCTGAGGATGAAAAATCATACATTTTCAACCCATACTTACAAATTTATAAATGATTACTGGACCCTGGACTACAGCTATAGGTGTTTCTAACATTTTCTCCACATGTATTTTACTATATAGCTGTGGCTCAGAGAGCCCAGTAGACAAACAGTTCAATTACCATTTTCAAATATTGATGAGATTTTGCTATCTAAAATCCATTTTAATTGTTTAGGTCTTAAACCTAAGACAAATAATTAGTTTTAGCTCAGACTAAGGGGCGCAGCATCAGGTTCTTGCCCGAGGAGGAATCATGCCTCAAAGACTCAATTCCTTCCTTTCTCCAAATTCCATAGGTGTAACAGCCCTTTTTGATGCTTTTCTGGTTTCTGCATTTGATCTCCACATGCAGTTAGCAATGCCAAACACAACAGGAGAAATACATCTCCTTACACTTTCTGGCCATCCCCAGACCTTTGTTTCAGTAGGGTCCATCATGTGCTGTTGGAGCTGCAGGCAGAACACACCCACACAGCTGAGCAATACAGAAAGACACTCCTCATGAGAATGGCCTAATGCAAGTTATGCAAGTTACACATTCGACCTTGCGGACAGACTCTTCTACTCTAAACTTCATTCAAATACACTTAACATTCTTTGACCATTGGATCATCATTGGTTAATAAAACATTACGTAGAGTTTATAACACCTAATCAGCATTCCTTTCTGTTTATTTTTTTTTACATGACTGCAATTTTTGTTGCCTTTCCTGCATGCAGGAAATGATGTCAAATGCTCTTAAAGAAGACAGTCCACATGGCTGAGGTGTGTTTGGTTTTGGTTTTTTTCCTAAAAAAATATTATTCATATTAGCAAAGCTGAAATCAGTACTTTCAGACTGTCTCATGATAAACAGAAGCAGCATCAGAGCTAAGAACTTCAAGGAACAGCCCACATGTTTTCACCATTCTCATGAGAAACTAATCCTAACCATGCGAAGATTAACATTAAAAAACTTATCGATCTCCATTGGGTTGAATTTCTATTCCAGAAATACATTAAAAACCCATCACAACTGCCACGATGGAGAGACGGGATGCAGCTTGATGCAAGCAACATGTCCGTTTTTTGTTGTTTTTCACAAATCCTTATAGTCCCTTTGCTTAGCATATTCTGCTGATTGAAATCCTTATATTTGCTTAGCATATTCTGCTGATTGGCTTATTCTAAACATTAGGGTGTGTACCAATTGGTCAACCAAAGGCACAACTTGTTGTTTTACCCCAGCAACATCCCAGCAACTTCCCAACTCCGGGCGGGTGAGCCAGCATGCAGGTGCTTTCTGTGTGTACCAATTGGTCAACCAAAGGCACAACTTGTTGTTTTACCCCAGCAACATCCCAGCAACTTCCCAACTCCGGGCGGGTGAGCCAGCATGCAGGTGCTTTCTGTTCAAGGGTCCCATCTCCACACCTATTCCTCCCAAGGCCCTCAGGCAACAAGTCCTAACACATCCCTAGACTAGCCCAGACATGCTGGAGCCTTGCTGAGTGCAGCCAGGCCACTCCCCACACACAACAAACAAAACAGAACTGAGCAGTTTTGCTTTTGCTGCATAAAGTGATGCAAATATCCCAGGTTTGTTAAATTATAAGAAGCATATTTCTGACAAAACAACAATGTTCAAAGAAAGGAAGTGTTACATACACCTGAATAAGCAGAGGGTACTTCTTGGATCTATCAAACTGTGGAGGTAGAAGCATTTTGTACCACAAAACTAGAAAAGACATATAAAAATCATATTTTTAAGCATTAAAATGATTCCTCCAGGCATAATCCAGAGTTTGGTGTAACAGTATATGAACATGAATCAGCACATAATACACAATGCATGAACTGTGAATCACAGAACTGATGCAATTAATTGTTTATATTGAGCTGTTGAAGAAAAATGAAGAAATAAAGTACCCACTTTAACTTTAATTTAGCTATACATAAAATTATTATTATTACACAAACTCTTGGTTCTCAGGTTTCCCAGGTGCCTAGAAAAGCACAACTAGGAATATAACTGTTGTTAAGATTATCAGAAATTAGTTTTGAAAACTTTACATGGATTTATTACCATGGAATACTGTTTGTAAAGTCACTAGTGAAAACAACAGTGCATACAAGTCAATATAAAGTGTAACACATTATCAGCAGTTTGCATTTCACATTTTATTACCACCATATTATATTGTTTTTACCTGATATTTAAACACTTTATCAACAGGATGAAAGAATTTTTAAAAAATTGCATTGTGAAGTAAAGATGTGTTTTAACTACTATTTTACTGAGAGATACCCTGAGGTATCTGAAATTGTTGTTGAACAGGGCAGAACAAAGCCTCTTCTTCCCAATCAAACTAACAAGTTTCTTCTACAGAAAGACAATACTTAATAGAACAAAATTAAGACCAAATATTAAAATGATAGGAATAAAAAGTATAATCAAAATGTATAATTCTTACTTATACCATCCACTTCAAGTTTATTAATTTCTTCTTTTGGCAGTTTGATCTCTTGCAAAGCAGACTGCAATTCCCAATTGTCTTCTAATACTCTGAGCTCTAAGTAAAAGAAATGCCTGAATTATTAACTGATTCATTGTTAAGAAAGGAAATCTGTGAATTTTACAAGCAAAGTAATGAAACCAACTCAGACACTTCTAATTGGGCATGATCACATAGCTAAATGAAAGCAAAGCACTGGTATTGCAGTGCACAAATACTCATTAGATTTTTTTTATAGGATATACATTTTGCAATGCAACTCCTTTCACATGTTTCCTCTGAGTGTTAGGAGTCCGAGATGGTACAAAGAAACTCCTTTCTCCTGCAGAGCCCTTATCCCAGTCTTATAACACGGTGGGAGCTGGAAATGCAAAATTCATCCCATTATGTAAAACACAATCCTATATCTCCTCTCATGCTTCCCATCACCTTAACCTCTGAGACCTCTGGGCAGTGTGGTTAAGCACACAGTTGTTTGGGAGTATCTTGTTTCTGAGCTAAGGCAGGAAATTCAGTTTCTTAAAGGGTTATTGCAAACCCTTGCTTAACCACTGTACAATACATTCCCACACAAAGATAGTAGAATTACCATATAACTATCCTTGGTAATATATTACTACACACTTAGTGAACAATTTTTTGTGTTTTGGTTCGGGTTTTTTCCCCTTTTTTTTTTTTTTTTTAATCCGAACAGTATTTCAGTTTATTGTTTTACTTGCATTAGACAAATTTTATACTTATATAATTGAAAAATTCCTATTTAAAATTTTGTCAATGTACAGCACAGACTGCAGAACCATATATTATGAATCCACTGCGTATTACTTATTTCTTTATGTGTTTTCTCATGAGTGGTGATGGATGAAGAATATGTACATAAAGGAAATCTGTGACTTTAGCTTCACTTTCAAAAAGAAAGTATCTTTTAAAACTGCAGGAGATTTTTCTTTTTGAGTTTACCTTCCCCCCACTCCCACTTTCTGGAAATGCTCAAAAAAATAGAAGAAGTATTCTTGTCTCAGCATGTATTGAACTAGATAGTGCTCAGGACATACCAGAAATATAACACTGGAATTTGTTCTTTCAAAGTACTCTTGACAAGTTTTGCAGATTCAAGTGGGTTTTTTCATGGCTGAAATATCATCCTAGCTTTGGATACTCATCCAAACTCAGCTGAACCCTTTCAATCCTTCCCCTAAAAACTACTGAAACTTGCCTATTGCCACAATTGAATTGTAGGCACTCTGGAAGGAGCATCCAAACTCGTGTATGTTAGTTTAACTGCACATGTCCTACTAAAATTCATTGGTGATGTATTTTCAAAATGCTGCCAAATGCAATGAAAATGGATTTACTAAAAATAGTTTTGCACCACAGAAGAGATTATGAAAGCAAGGGACTTAAGGAAAATGAATCCAAAAAAGGTAATGAAAAAGTCAAAGAGAAGCCTGAATTTGTTTTTATTCCTGAAGAATAATAGCACAGCAGAGTGAGGCATCATGAAACAAGTGGTGAAAATCCATTCCATGGAACTGTTCTCTCCTGCAGAGAGGTTAAGAAACACATAATTGCAGTTGGCACTTAGCTGCATTTCATGCAATTCATACTTCGATAAGGTAGTAGGGACTCTTGATATACAGAGTAATAATGAATAAGGGAAAACAGAGCTATGCCAATGGATTAAATATGAAAAAACCCCCATGCATGAGCTGTATTTAAACCATTAAATCTATTTAAACCTTCTGCAAAGGAAATACCAGAACACAGTGTTTTTATGGCACAATTGCAATAGGCACATTAACTAGCCTTTTCCATCTGCAAACATTTTTGAGTAGATAAAAACTGAGATATACCAACTCCTATTGGAGTAAAAATAATATTATGTTGCAATTTATTGACTTCTACATGAATCACCACAGATTAATTTAGCTTGACAATATTGTGGCATTTGTCTTCCTTATGTTTTTGTGTGTTTTCTGGTAAGACAATACTCAGTTAATAGTAGGTTATCAATATGGGCTGAACTGTAAGGACCATTAAAACTACCAGTGTATTTCCACCAGTTATTGGGGAAGGAAGGGGAATGGTAAGTCATTGAAGTTTTATACAGGACCATGCTAGTTTTCATGACATTTCAGGGACTGAGGGCTTTAAGTCAGAGAATTTTAAGGGAAATACAAGGAATAGAGAGAGAAAACTCATGGCAGAGCAACTAATATTTCCATAGTTAGAAAGTTCCTGCTTGTCTTGATTGCAAACAGTCCTCATTAACAGGCTACTTAAAGAATGAGGGCTCTAAATGTTTCTTGCTGGAAATCCCACTTTGTATCAGTAATTACACCTTGTCTGAAGCAGTTATTTGAACAAATCATCTGAAAGAGCTTTTGCTTTCCTCTGACATCTCTACTGATGGCTGAAGAGCAAGTCATTGATCCAAATTCTAATCAGTACAGCACAACAGGTCAAACTTTAAATAGTACACTGTTGACTTTGGTATAAGGTAGTGTTGTCTAATGAAAAATATCAGAAAGTCTTGTGTTCATCCAAATGTAAAAAGGAATAGTCTGGAAATCACAATAATATTTTCTCAAAGTTTGACTCAATATTTGGTAGACAAAGAGTTGCCGATGTTCATTTTCTCTATAGTGTGTAAACAGGAAAACCATCGGTTTGCTATGAAAGTGCTGGACTCAGGAATTAAAATAAAGGCATCAGCGTGTTCATTGATATTTGGATTTTACTAATTAACAAATGTAGAAAGACACTAGATATTTTAATACCAAACAAGAGAAAGGCTTCTTGATCATAATCCTAAACACTGTATTAGAGGATCTGCATAGTGAAAATCAATGAGTGTAACAATTGCTCAGACACAGGCAGCATACTTGCAGTACCTCTATCACTGTGGTTCTCAAAAAGAGTAGAAATGGGAATCCCAGGACCTGTCACAAGAACAATAAGAAACCAGTTTATAGTTAGAAGCTGGAATTTGGTGATGGAATGTGTATTACATTACTACTGGTAAATGACAGAAGTTAAAGACATCAAAGTTGAGACACAAATCTGAATCTTCTCAGATGTATAACCCACTAGTCCCTGCTGCATGACATACATAAGATACTGCGTGTGCACAGCCTTGCATACATATAGGCATTGCTTAGCAAAACAATAGAAGCAACTTTAAACCCACTAACAAACTCTTCCTCCCTAGAGATGAAGTGACACCTAGTTAATACCTGAGATGTGATTACATAAGACGAAAGCAGAATTAACAATGTGAAACATTCTTCTGAGAACATGTCACATTGTATTTTTGAAGGTGAGTGCCTTTCATATGGTGACGACCTTACTGACTATTTTGTGCGAGAATGATTGAAAGGTGTTATTATTTCCTACATTTGGTTCTCTGCTCAACGGAAGTTCTAAGGAACTTTTCAGCTGATAAGTCAGTGCAGAATCAGAAGAACAGTAAACTTTGTATGAAATACACAAAAGGAAAACCTTGGATACTTTTCTTTTTTTCAGATCGTCACCTCACTGTTCTCTGATTTCAGTAGTGGATGAAACCTCAGATTACTGAAAACACCTAACAAAAGGTTCTACAGGAATTCATTTAATACTTCAGTCTTACAAGTGGTGTAAATGATTACACATCTTGAACTGAATTTCTCTTAGCTGTTATTAAAAACGTTCTCAGATAGTAAATAGCCAACATTTATGGCTGTCATGGGTTTTGATAATTTTAATCAGGAAATACATTGTAGTAGTTTGTCATAGCTAACTGATCACATAAATTGGAAATCAGTGTATATTTCTAAGTCCTGCTCTTGCTGCTGCAAGAAAAAGCATGACTCCCATGACCCAGTTTAGAATCTGTTTTGGGACATGAAGGACATTCAGGAATTTCTTTTTGATTTTTGCTGAAAATGTAAAAAAAAATTCCTGAAAACATTTGTATTTTCTGAAACATCTTCATGAGATTTTTGATCATAGAAAGTTTATTTCTGGAAATCTCTCCTGGTTATTGAGAAATTTCTATGATTCACACAACTATCGTTTGGGATAATCAGTATTAAAACCAGCGCCAACTAATTTGAAAGAACAACTGATTACTTTTGCTTCCATGCTATACATACCATAACAGATCAAGGCATAATACTTAGAACGTTCACTGAATCTTGCTGTATAATACTGACATCTCTCTTTTCTTAAATTGCAAGTAATACATTGTTTTCTGAGAGGTTTACTTCCAATACTGATTCTAGAAGGAAAATAAAGACGTAGTTATTTTGCTACAACTAACTTCACATGTGTCTGCCTCACACTCTTGAACACAGGCACTGTACATTCAGAATGGTTCAATTTAAAAATAAGTGTTTGGCCTTTTTATGGATTTTTTTCCCAAGAGTATACTTAAATGTTAGATGTTATTTTTCCTCAATTCTCAGATATAATCTGAGGTCAAGATTTAGTTAAAATGGCTTGTGAAATTACACTTTAAACATCTTGAAACTAAATTATTGACAAATCCAGATATCTTCTATCAACCTACTATCATTAAGATAACGTTGATAACACTTACTTGTAAATATTCCTTCTTCCTGGATAGCCTTCAAATTCATTGCTTGAATAGAAACTGTAAATTCATTTACATGTTAATAAATAATTAATGAAGTAATGACTTATGAACCAGCATCAAGATGAAAAGCTGTCTTAGAAGTTAAATTAAACTTTCTGAGTTTTCTGCATGTGATGGAAGAGTAGTTAAGCTTATATACCTTGCATCTTAATAAATCTTTCCTCAAACTATGATTAGATTACACATAAGCCATATAAACAGTTCTGTCTTAATTCTCATGAGCTAATCACTCCAATTATGTAAGCTGTATCTATAGTAAGCTGAATGAGAGATCATAAAGAGTAGCTGCAAATTGTGTGAGGGTTAAGCACATGATTAAATTAAGCATTTTTAAATAAGTCTCCCTAAGATGGGTGATTAAAAATAAATAGAAAATTGAGAGCAATTTGCAAAGAATCTCTCATAAGTAAATCAAATTTACAAACATGTGGAGTGCCTTTGCATACAAATTTGTAGTGGATGCATTCAGATAAAAACAAATTATACCTAGTTCTAACTTGACGAGTTAACAAATGGTGTTCAAATAATTAAGTGTTGTTTTTACTGGCAATACTCACAACCTGTTTTCTTCATGACACTTACATTGCATCATTTGTTACTCTGAAAATGTATATTGCTTCCCATTCTCCACTTGTAACTTGGATTGCATTCTCCTGTGTAGCAAGACATTTAAGTTACTGAATATTGTAGAATTATTTCAGGAATTTACAATAGATCAGTGTAGAACACTTTGCTTGACTTACCACAGAGCCATTGATGTAATGAATGTGCTTATAACCATTTTTGTCACTAAAAATTTTGTAGTATGAACTGGTGTCTGATGTAAAATATGGTGCAGAAACAAAGAACTGAAACAATGGAAGAAAAACAGTAGATGAGACATAAGTAAGACTGTCCAACCTGTTTAGCAGATTATAGTACAAATACTAAAAGTAACAAGATTATTTACTTAGTTCAAATGGGACAAAGTACTTTGCACAAATATTTACCTATGATATTCAATATCCCAGACTTTACAGATTACAGTTTCTAACCTGTCATGTCAGATTTCTTAAACTCATAATATAGACACATATATCTATATCTATATCTATATCTCTCTCTATAAAATATAGATAAGCATCCCACAAATGTGAGCTCAGAGTTTGGCTGTTTCACTGAACAAACACAGCACTAATAAATGCATATCTGAAGTTTTCCATACTATTCCACTAATGTTAAAGAACAGTTTATTCCAGATAAGATCGTTTAACTTCTGCTTCCTTTCAACCACCTCTTTACTAAACTTGTCAGTTGAGGCTGAGTTACTGCAGCTGTAACTTTTATTTTTAAAACATGAAGACTTTTGAATAATACTAACCCAAGCTCGACTAGAACCTGTGATCACAAGCCAAATTGTCCTGAAGACTGCTAATTCTTGAAATCCCATAAAGGCCAAAGCAGGGATTTATGCACATGTGCAATTTCTTTCTCTCTAACAAAAACCTATTATCACAATCTTAAGTGGCAAAAAAAAGGACCAAGTAAAGTAACTAATCCTTGTAAATGTGTGATCTTCACTTCAAATTAAAAGACACCTCTTAAAGGACAGTGCACTAAAAATCAAAACTTGCAGTTAAGTCCACTGCAGGATATTCAGGCACAGTGTGAGGTTCCCCATAGTGGAGTCTGTTAACTTCCCCTGCCTGAAAGTAAACATAAGCAATACCACATGTTCACTGTTGTACTGTATGATCGTAAACACTGAGTTCATGCTCTTACGATTTCCTTATAGATTTGTTTTTACCGCAAGTTTTCAAAGATAAATGCTGTGTCCAGGGCTACTGGGTAGAGAAAACTCCTTTTTCTTAGGGGTGACTACAGAGAAGTACCATCTACCCTTGTAAGTGGGGTGTCTTACCTTAAGGGTTCCTGCCTAGCTGAAGATGTGCAGCACTTGGCACTAAATCTCTGTTCTGAATGGACAGGTTTTATTCTTGGCCTCCAGGATGCTGCTAAGAATTACACTGCACTATGAACCTACCTCTTTTCATGACTTCCCTCCCGTCAGTATTGTGTCTAATCAGTTGGTCTTAGATTTTCAAAAGGAGATGGAAATAGGACTCTAAACTCAGAAATCAGGTAGCCAGATACTGTATCTAGCACAGCATTAAAAGTTCCACAGTGCAACGGGTTTAAGCAGCAGTGTTGTATGACACAGGGGGTGCTTCATGTTTCAAAACACTGATGTGAAGATGCAGAAAGTTGTAGCTTTTCATGGAATCAAAATAGTACAACAAGAAAACCTACTCCGCCTGCCCATCCTGTTTGACTCTCTTCTATGTGCTGTTGATTCTGAAAAACAAAATCAAATGTACACTCTTTAAGATCAAGTTTATGGAGACTCAAAATCTTCAAATAAACAAATCTGTAGCTGTCTGCAAAAGAATTTTAGAATACATGCTGTGAAGGTTCAGGGACTTGAAGGTTGTCTGAAGTAAATAAAAAATAAGTAAATAGTAAATTATTATTTTTTAAGAGCTATCATCAGAGCTAAATAAAATCTAAAAGTAATTGGTTTAACCTTATGCAACTTTTTAACTGAAAACAAGAATTAACAACTACTTAATCTCATGAATAGTTCAGTAAACACCCAAGTAAAATATTTCAGTAACAATAATATTAAAAATCCATTTTAGGTATTCAGCAGGTTCATATTTTCTTTTATTTCAGAGCTATAATGGTGGATAATATGACTACCAGGCACATCTTTTAAATGTAAACTTTAAAAAACTTAAAAATACAAGCCAAATACTTCAACTATATAAAGTTGAACATAAAACATAAAAATCAATGCTCTCCATATTTGGATTAGAGATATTAAAGGGTCTGATTATACAAAATCTCACAATAATGTAAGCAGCAAAAATCCTCCAGATTACCTTGTCCTGAAACTATGAATATAAATGTCTTACCTCCTTGTTCTTAAAGCTGATTTTAAAACAGACTTATACTGTGCATAAATGGATCAGTACCTTCTGCAGCTAAAGGTGCCTTTACATTTTTATTTATGCTTTGCTTCTAAGATTTCTAGTGATAAAATAGGTAACAATTCTCTATTCAATGTATTTATTTTAATACAGTGTATCTTTACAGTCTGAAATAAATTCAACACACTTGCTTTCTAAGGAATATTGCTTGTATTTGTTATACTCAATGTGATCTCATTAGTACTCAGAATCATCCTTTCTCCCTTTCAACTTAGTCTCTGCAAGGTGACTAATTTGAGCAAAAGTTGCAGGTATTTGTCCCTTAGAAGACTGTTCAGTACTTTGCAAGGACTCCACTGAGCTATTAACTCAGAAGACGGATTTAATTTCTTTTTGAGATAAGAAAAATGGGATGTATTGTTTTGTATCTGCATCCTAACTTTATTTGCCTTTCTTTAAATTAAGACTCAGATCTCGATGACATAGTACATTAGGGATATATTTAAATTCTCTCATATGAGTAGTCCCCTTGACTTCTATGGGATTCTTCTATGTGTATGAAAGTATTTACAGAATTTAATTAGAGAACTGTCTTCTTTATAGGCAATCCCAATTTCACAAACACATGCTTAGCTTTTACTCACATGAATAGTTCTGCTGAAGTCATATTGGTTTCTATGGTCTATTCACATGAGCAAGACCTGGACATGTGAACATTTCTGATGAATCTTCACTTTAGGAACATCTTGCAGATTATATTTTGTTATTATTTTGAAGTACATAAAGCCTAGCACGTTTATTGTACATTAGAGTCTCGACGTAATCTGAATTCAACAAGAGAAGTATTTTTGCCAAAGGAAATGTACAGAGATATACTTTCTAATGGCAAATAGAGCTAATGCAGCACTCCCATCTGTTCACACTCCTTCGATTGGCCATTTGTGCAAACTTTAATGTGATAAAAGCATTGTATCACTGTATAAATATAGAATTATAGAAACGTCAGTAGTGACTCCATAAATAAGGTTTCATGGAGAAATGCAATTAAACAAGGATCATGAACACAGTCCTGCAAGATGTTAATTGGTCTGGTCTGGTTCCAGCAAAGCAATTAAGCACATGCTTAATTTTAAACACATAAACAGACCTACTGGAATAAATAAAACTGGTTATGCGCTAAAAGTTAAGCTTCTGTTAAAGTACTTTAGTGGACTGTGGTAGAATCCTAGAACCCTTAAATATTTTTTTCTGTACATTAAAATATGTAGTTATTAAACTATAAGTTACTTGGAGGTAAGAGAGAGATTCAGTGTAAAGTATTCATACAGTGGAACAATTACTTAGGAAACACACTGAATGCTGCATTAAATATGCGTATTTTTCTAGCAAATTTCAATATTTCTCTGTGGAAAACTACTTCAGTGATAATGTTTTTGAAATAACAGGACCTTAAATTCCCTTTAAATTTGCAACAATTGTATCGTAAAGGAATAAAAATTATTTTCAGCTTGAAAAGTCTGTGTCAATAAACTGAATTTACAATTTATCAGTTTTACAGAACTCTTTTGTAAGTATTCTTGCCTTTTATTACCCATTAGTTCAAGGTTTCATCTTAATGCTAGCTTTATAGGTGCTCTGTACTATCAACCCTAAGAACAAGACAAGCAAACAGCATCAATACTAAAATACAATAAAGGATATTTCTATACTAGACTTTCTGAAATTCAGGGTTGTCTTTCCTTCAGGATTTAGATGAATTTATCCGTGTCTACACTCTTCAAGCCTTACAGAACTCTGTTCTGCTCAGCAGAGCACGGTTTTTCCCTCCAAACTGTCTGCATCATAGAATGACATATTTAAACAAAATGTAGAGCTACTGTTGCAATTAGCCTGGAGTTTTCTGTTCAGATCTGGCTGTGTTTCTGAAAACTTGCCTGCTCTCTCCAACTGTATGATTTGATAAGACAGAAGAATTTCTTCCTCTTGCAATCCTGCCTTACTTTTAATCTGGATGTTCTTTCAACTAATTTAACATTAATCATAAAGGACATGATTTAATCAGACTTAGTATGAAATTTCAATATGGTATAATAAGATTTTCTTTAAAACACAAATACAGATCCGATATGGTTCTATATTTGAAGATGAGTAAGCAAGAAGGAATTAAACAACAGTACTGAAAGCTTCTCAATAGCATTATTCTGGTTTTTGTTGCTTTGTTTGTTATTTAAGCCTCACAAAAAATATTTTGGTGATTCTATTTCTTGTTGGAGTCATTGAAATCTCTTCACCCTTCCTCCAGCAATTAAAATATTGAAAAATGTGTCACTACTAATAAAATAAGAATGTGATCAAACACTGCAAAATACACTTATGGCAGGGATTAGCAAATACAAATTTCAGCAATTTGAAATTTATATTTCCAACTTCATTACCTCTGGACAGTCCCACGTATTTGAATGTTGTTTGAAATCACAAATAGCTAAGACTGAAAAATTCTGGATTCTTTTTAGCCATTGCACACAGACTCTAGTATCTGTTACCCAAGTAAGCCAAGTAAAATAGTGATCACTAAAAAGTAAAGAAAAAAAAGTAAGAAATGGTGGTTATTAAAGAACATGAATACAGAAGCAGTACTACAGATTGTACCCCCATATTGCTCTGTGGAAGGCAATAGCAAAGCTTCCACTGTTTTAGGTTATTTTTTTCCTTTGTAACAATGCATCATATGGACAGGCAAAATCAAAATACAACATTTCTAGTTAGCTTCTGATCCTTGTAGGAGATTAATATGGCAGTCCACTGTTAGAAACAGAACAACTCAGAGGCTCAAGCATTTAAAACAAATAGACAAAACCTTTTAAACCAAGAAAAGACATATTTGATGGCACACTACCTGGATGCTATGACTGTGGGAACTGGCACCTCCTTAGGACCAAATGCTTCAGAGTTAATAGTGTCTACAATAAACACTTTAACAGTAGGATTTTTAGCCCCAGCCTTCAAAAAAAATATATCAGGTTATTCAAACCAGGCTCTGAACATTTCAGATCAAGGAAAATGACAACATGTTTTGCAGGAAAGTAGACAGGTTAAAAAATAAGTCCTCAGTTGAGCGTAATATGGCAAATGTGGTCTTCTAAGATCTCAGAGTGACACTGCAGCAATAGTACCTTACTTAATTTTGCATCATTTAATAAGTAAAGAAGAAAACCTTTTAAACAGTCAAATTTAGTGCCTTTCTATACTAAAAGGCAGAGAATGTGCTTGATGGGAACCAGCATTCTGTTTGCAGTGTGGATCTTTGCAGCACACACTGCACTTACTTTGGCATAAAACTCCAGGAGCATGTACATGTGATTGCAAGTGCTCTTGGACATCCCAGCTGTGGAATGGCTGCCTAAACTGATTTCATGCTTGCTTATTCATTGCATACATTATTAGTTTTTTAATTCTTCTCCATGTGTGGTCCAAACCATCCAGTTTTACTTTAGAACTGTAACACAGCTGACAGGTGAGCAAATTCTTAAGACACATTAGTATGATCCCTTGCAATCATATGAACATGACAAGAGTAAGGAGAGCTCTCTAATACATGTTGAAGAAATGTCAACCAAAAACCTTCTTGCCTTAGATCTGGCACTTGAAAGCAATTAAAATGCAAAGCCCCTTGAGATCAAAAAGCCCTATGAAGTGTGCAAATAAACTGAAGCCATCATAGCCTTTATTTTTAAAAATAAAAATGTCTCATCATTTACTTACTGTAATGAAAAATAATAACAACTGTATAGTTAACACATCACAATAAGTAAACTGAATTAAAAAAAGGCTTGGCCACACAAGCAGGCACTTTGCCCATGCTTTTTACTTACAAGAGTAATTCCATTTATGTCACTGATACTATATTTACAGTTTTGAATGCACCTACAGCTTTTCAGAACTTGGCCCAAGTTTTCTTTCATTTAGGCCACAATGGATTTAACCACTGTAATACAACCATTTTTTAAGCACAGATTATTTTATCATTGTCATAACTAATTTCTCAACCATAAGTCAAAAGAATGCTAAAACATACCTTTGGGTATGGGATAATTATCTTTCTAGGATACTGATCCTCACCAAAATATGAATATTCAATAACTGGTATGTCAGAATCATTAAATTGTACATATGCTAAATATTTTCCACTTGGAGACCACCACAGTGCGTATTTGGTTGCTAGCATTTCCTCTGAGGAAAGAAAAACAAGAATGACAGTTTATCTTTGTAATGTATCTTCTAATCTATTTAAACATTCTACTCAGCAACCTAGACATGTAGAGACAGTGACACTAAATAAATAACATCAAACATACTGCATTGCATCTCAGTTCTGAAAGGCCTTAAGAAACAGGCACATGGATCCCATTTAACTCACTTGGGGTTTTCCTGTGTGTTTGTTTTGTTAAATTTTTTTGGATGCACTGAACTGCCAAAATCTTTACCAGAATTAAAACTTCCATTAAAGCTTAATTCCCAGTCACTGCCTGTGCATCAGAAGGAAGCTGAACCTGTAGTGTTCTGATACAGTTTCAGTAACAAAGAATCATGATTTTGGTTACACACTATGAATACAAAATTCAGTCATCAGACAGCAAATAATATATGGAAATGAACAAATCCTTAGGGCTCTAAAAGAAAAAAGCATCATCACAGGTATTTTAGAATGGATTGTGAGAACCAGGTAATTTAAACAAATCATGTTAGTTGTTGCCCTTCAAGATTTACTTACCTTCATAGACCCAATCAGGAATCCCATTAAATATTTCATTCTGTTTTCCATCACTAGTTATTTTAATTGGTGCCTCCCTTGGACTTTGTTTCAAATAGATATTATTCTGATATACATATACCTAAAGACAAGTATTTCTTATGAGTACAGGCAGTAACAGAGGTTACAGTAAGATCATCTGTAGCTAATGCTCTTACATTATACCAACATTAAGACCTAATGAATACAAAATGGGAAATAAATACTACACTAACATCCCTTGCAAAATCTGCGAGGGTTTTTACCTCTGTAAATAAAATATACATTACAGGCCAAATTCCATGTTCAACTATGTCAGAATAAATTCTGCACAGCTCTTTTTTGTTTTAATAGACTCCAGAGGATTCTGTGGCTAGTTTTGGTGTGGAAAATCATTAAAAAAAGTTCAAATCTTTGCAACTCATTAGAATAGCTGTTTTTTAAGAGACCCTTGAAGTGTTTTGTGACTTTTTCTTCTAGTTCCACTGAAAGCAGAAGATAAAAACAAATGCACAATGACTGAAAAGAAAATAAGCAGACTTTTAAAAATCTGTCTAAAGGCCTAGGAAGGAGATGTGAGATGAGACAAAAAAAGGCTTTACTCTGGGCAGGTTTGTTCCTTTCTAGTAAAATAATTGCCAAAAGTGAGTTCTTGTAAGGAATGCCTGCAGGTCTTGGATATCTCTAAATTTCAATCAAGTGAATTGACATGTGGTTAAGAAACCTGCACCAGAAACATCACTTTCTTAGAACATCATGCCTTTTGAAGTCTAAGCATTTCTTAGCAACACCACTGTAACATTTTAACTACTTTGTGCTTCAAATGAAAAACAAAGCAACTGCTAAACTCTCAGATACAATACAAGGACTAGAGAGTGACAGAAGCATGGAATGGTTTAGGTTAGAAGGGGCCTTCAAGGTCATCTAGGTTCAATGCCTCACTGTGGGCAGGGAGACCTTCCACTATACCAGGTGGCTTAAAGTCCTGTCCAACCTGGACTTGAACACTTCCAGACTATTCTATAAAACCATCACAGACTATTAGTACTAGAAAGATAGGAAACTATTTTCATTGTGTTCTGTTTCCAGAATTCTTGATAAAGAAAATAACAAAACTTAATTGAGAGAACTAGGACTCTGCTGGAACACGGAAAAAAATTCCTAATAAATTGTCCATTCATATTTAGCCTATTGGGCTGAATATTTAGCCTTGGGTATTTTTTGAAATGAGACTGATGTTTAAAATTTTTTATCTTGCATGAATATTTTGTCAATAGTGGCTAAGTAATAGAAAAAGCCACTAATGACTATTGGGCTGATGCTTTGGGACCAAGAATATGAAAAGTTTCTAAACTTCTGAACTTCTGTGTATGCTGGTTTGAGCTGAAGTAGAGTTAACTTCCTTCACAGAGGCTAGTATAATACAATAGTTCTATTACAATGACTGAGAAATAGATATTTGGCTATCAAGCAGCTATTTAAAAAAAAGAAAGTAACTTTTTTGTAATAAGAATCTGGCAGCCATTTCCTAGAGTAAAACTTTTAGAAGAGGTTTTAAATACTGCATCTCTAAATCTCTGTAGTAAATTAATGTGTTACACAGTGTTAAAGGAAAACACATTGGTTTTCAGACCTTGAAACTACATTTAATCCTATATAAAATTATGTTGGTCAATTCTTGATAAGAAACCGGTGAGCAAACTGAAACACATAATGTAGATGAGAACATAGATCATTCTTCCATTGAGACACAGACAAGATATATTTTAACAAGTTAAAACTGTTTTCTTTGTCATACTTGCTCACAACTAAGATCAATAAACAGTGGCCTGTCAAAAATATCACCCAACAAAATAAAAACTAAAGGCAGATAAATGTCTTCTAGCCACACAAAGCAGATTAATTCTAGCACTTAATTATCTTTACTAACCAATTTGTGTCCAACGGGTGACCAGGATATATACTGAATTTTATGTGGAAGCTGATTCTCTGTTACAAAACCACTAAAAAAAGGAGAGAAGTTGAGATGGCTTTTTGCACACAGTGCAAATGTATCATTATACTCTACATTAACAAAAATTCACGAAGGGCTGTATTTCCTAACTGCTTATTGTTTCTCAAGCAATGCACAATTAAGACAGGCAGATACATGCAGCAACATGGTATGCACCAGTGGCTTGAAGGCTTTTAGAGGCTTAACCCTTTGAAAACATATTCAACAGCCCCAAAAGCCACCCTTATCTTTTTCCAAATACTGCACAAGCATCTACAGTCATTTGCTCTATCTGCAGTCTGCATTACAGCCTCAGCAAGTTATTGGGAAATGTGAACTCAAGATACAGCATGCTGAGGCAAGCATAAGAGCAGCAGTTACAGCATTTGTTAAGGATCATGACCCACATGCAGTACCTCTCCACTCACATTAGTTTGCAGCAATTTTTTCCTACCACCTTGAGCCAACAGTTTCCCAAGAATGGCACAGCTCAGTGCAGCCTCTGTTGCTCAGAACTAAGAGGCATTTGTTCACGCTGACATGGCATAAAAAGGTGACTGGGGAAGCAGATGGCATCCTTCGAATTTGGGTGGAAAGAGGAGTGGTTTGGGGAAGGTCTTGGGAAAGAGACCCAATGCCATGCAAGAAACACTAAGCTTTTGAGGAAGGCAGGATGGGCTGTTACAAGATCACTAGAGCACTAAAGGACATGTGAGAGTTTTAGGAAAGCTAAAGATTAGATCAATGATAAAAAGAATGAATTAGACAACAGAAGGGCATGGAGACATCAGATGTGAGACAGAGTGGGACAGCAGCCAAGAAATGACCTGGCAGATTCAGACAAAAGCGAAGCAGGGTGGTAGTCACATTTCTACAGTTTTTCAGAAAATGTTTGCAAGAACATCAACACAGAGTATTCACCACAGCTGTCTGTGAGAAGTATCAGGCCTTACCCATATATGAGGTCATAAATGTGGTATGATGCTGTATAGGAGTATCTCCACAGCTGCATAATTAAACAAGAATATATTACCAGTTTGGAAAAAGGTAACCTAATTACAAATAACCAGCTGCCTTTTCACAGCCTACCCACTTCTCAAGAAAGCACCAAGCAACATTTCATTAAGGGATATTTTAAAATAATTACCTTTGAATAATTGCTTTCCAGAGCTATGAAATATTTGTCTGATGACAACACATAATTTGAAGCATTAACTTGCTTCTGAAAGATAAAGAAGTAGATTAGATTCTAGTCTCACTTTTAAACTGGGACTTGAAATGCAACTGCATTTCTCTGCCTTTTATTAAATGCAAAGGTACATACCATTGTGCTGTTAGTCATGATGGTAGTTCGGTAATTCATGTCAACATTGTAAAGAATAATGTCATCTTCCGCAGACTGATGAAGATATTCATTATCTTTATAAACAAGATAAAATGGCTGTTACCTTCACGGAAGATACTACAGAACAAATCCGTTTATCAACGTATCATTTAACAAGTAAATGCCAAATTTTATTCTCAGTAATATCTGATCAAGAATGCCAGTGATGACAGAACCATTACAAGGTCAGTATCGCATGATTTAAAGGAAACTTTCAAGATATCTGCTTATCATTTTTCCAGAACATTCTCATTTTTATATTCTGCAGATACCAGCAACCCCATGTAACTGACACTACATAAAAGACACTGCCCTTACTCACACAAGTCCTACAAAGTGAGGGTGAGTGGCATTGAATGAGAATGGAATTTAACCCGACCCGTGCTCAAGACCTGAGCCATAGTTTGGTAGAGAGCGAAGATCAGAATTTTAGTTTCAGATCATTATTTTCAGTGCTATAAATAGAGAAAAGAAATTACATACTTGGTGTAGCTAAAGAGTGAGACTTAAAGTTTAAAAGCAGCCTGAAACATTGTGTAAGGTGTTCATTTTTAGGAAATTAGATCACGCTTGGAACTTTCGAGCACACTTCTGTGATTCGTGTAACAGCACTTGTGCTGATCTCAGACACCCTTAGGATGAAATATTCAATTTTAACTCCTTGTTTCAGAAGAGAAGTAGACATATGGAATGCTGTAGGCATGACTATCTATGGAATCTATGGCATGATTTTTGCGTGAGCTTTGTGACTGCTAAGAGGAAAGATAAGTCTCGGTGGGAAGGATATAAAGAGGGAAGAAGAATATTAGGTTTAGATGATATGCTGCCTACATGCTTCAGACATTCAGACAGAATCCTAACAAACAGTGACCTAATTTTTAAATCACACAAGCAATATCAACATCCTTCAAGTTGTTAATAGTAAAATTTGACCTGCTGCTAGCAATGTCCTGTAAGGCTTCTCTTCAGTTCTAAAATTGTGGGTTTAAACTAGCTTGGTAAGAGTCCATGTGAACGGGCCCTATGCTCCTTGCTCTAGACAGAGAACAGTAACTGCTTGAGGCAGTGCATAGATAGGAGTGGTAGTAGTGTATGAGCTAGAATGAAATCCAGTCTAGTTCTAGCATTTCTGTGAAACTAAAATTCAGTGATAACAAGACCAGTATTTCAGCCACACACAGATAAATTTAGCAGCAGCAGTTAGCTTCATGTATTTATCCTCAGCCTTAAGGAACTTGCTTAGAAACTAAACTTTTTTTTCCTATACAATGCCCTGGAACTCAGGAATTTCAGCAGTGTCAGTATTTCCTTAAATAAGATAAGAACAGTTGGGCTCATTGCAGAGCCAGGTACTACTGAAAACAAAGAACAGGGCCTTTAAGACAGACTACCTCAATCATTACAAGTGGCAAGTAAGAAAGTACTGTGAAAAGCATAAAAAGGAGATTGCTTAAGGAATGACTGACACATTGACATATTTCTTTCACTTGCTGCAATGAATATGACAGTAAAAGAAATAAAACTCTGAAGGCCTCTGTAAAATTATAGTTTAGACTTGACTCAAACATGTCGGTTGAAACACTGAATACCTGGAATTTCTAGAATGACTGACAGGATAGTAAATTTGAACCATAAGTTTTGACTAGCACATTGTTTAATTTCATAGTTAGCATTCATTCACAGTAAAGCTGGAAGGAAACTGCATTTCTCAGTCAGTGTAAACCAGTATAGAAATACATATTAGAAAGGCTTATCTATGTTTGAGGAAAGGTTTTACTTACCAGATACCCAATATGGAAAAAATGTTTTATATTGGAACTTTCCATTCAAATAATCCTCCAGTGTCAGAGCTCTGGGACCATCATCTGTGTTGACAACTAAGAATGAGACAGAAAGTTTCCATTAATGCAAAGTGAAAAGAAAAGAAAAGAAAAGAAAAGAAAAGAAAAGAAAAGAAAAGAAAAGAAAAGAAAAGAAAAGAAAAGAAAAGAAAAGAAAAGAAAAGAAAAGAAAAGAAAAGAAAAGAAAAGAAGAGAAAAAAAATACTAGTCCAATATTTTCTTTTTGTTCTTTATTTAGCACCATGGAACTGTGAAAATACCATAATCCTAGAGATATGCAAAGAGTAGGCACAACAAAAAGGAAAAATCTCTGTTACAGTTCTGATAAGGTCCTCACCTTTAGCAATACAAAATTAAAAACTAGACAAACTGATTTATTTCATCCAGTCATTTATGCACTCAGACACATCTACTTTTAGACCCTGAGAGTTCAAGAAAGCCTTTTCCACACAAACAACAAAAGATGTTGTTTTTTTTTCTTAAAGTATGGGTTTAATGAACTTGTAGAGACAACTATTTTAATTGGGACCTGCACGTATTCAGCAGATGGTCAAACAACAGGATATGCTTACAGACCCCTACTGCCAAATTTCATAAATGCCGCATCAACCATTGTTAGAAGATGGCTATAAGGCTTGTGAAATAACCACCATCCACATATATTTCTTAGCAGCTACATGAAAAAAACAGATGAAGGTATGCAGGTAAAAACAATGCTGAAAAGTAACGAATGAGTGAACCAAAACTTGAGCATTTTATTTAATGCTGCAAAAGAAAGTTGACAATGATTCTGTAGACAAGACAATTACATAGATATTTGATTTATAAGCAGATCAGACAACTTCATTAATATAATGCACAAAATTGTGGCTGGGTTTGTGGCTCTTGTCTAACTATGTTACTTCCAGAAACTAAACACCTTAAGCTTGGGCAGATTTTAAAACAAAATTCAAGGACAATCAGCTGGATGAGAAGAGGATTATCCTGTGCAGTTCCTGTGCAGCACCTATGCACTTCACAAGAGTGAGAGCAGTCAAAATATTTAATCCTCAAAAGATACAGGAACTTTTCTGATAAAGGCCAGTGTATAAAGTTCAGCCTCATAATAATGGCAGCTTTTCAAGTCTAGGCATTCTGGATTCTATGCTTTTCTCCTTTAAAATCAAGGGGACTTTTGCCATGGGCTTCAGAGGTAGTGGGGATGTCATACTGCAGCTTAGTAGATCTCTGCCACTTCCCCTGTTTGTTCCTTCAGATCTCTCAGATGACAGTCAGATAATCAAGATGACTCACTGCCCTCAGGTTTCATATCATGCTCCATCACTTGCTCATCACAGCTGCCCTCTCTGTTAAGATCACACTGACTTCCTGGGAAATGTTTCTTCATATTCTCTTCTATGGTACTTTGTAATAATAATACATATTATTTTCTGCTAAGTGACTATTACTTACTGTAGAATACACATGTCAGGTTGACTTTTGACACAAGCCTTGTCTGCACTAATGCAGAAGAAAGCTGTCACAAGAAATAAAACTGATTGTCAATCCATAGGCAAAAACCTATCCATATAAACTCTGAGCTAGCAATACATCCAGAAAATATCCCAAGAAGTTCAGTAAGAAGTTAATGCCTCCTGCTAATAACATGACTGTATATTAGAGATCTTTGAAACACTGATGATAAACATAGAAGATCACAAACTTAAAAAAATGCATAGAAAATAATTCCAAAGAAGAATCCAATTCTATTTATATTGAGTGATGATAACTTATCACTATCTTTCAGTTTAAATTATTTAAATGAAAAAGCTTATTAGCAAAAGCAATCTTCCATTAAGATCTATTTCCAAGGCTGTGTGTATAGGAGGCTTAAATTTGCAGTCCTTTACCTTTACCTGGTAAAGTTTCCTGGTTCTCTCACCTTAAGAGGATTTTTTACTAAAAATCAAGCAATAACACAGATTTCTCATCATGGGTCTCATTTTCATAGCTCTAATTTAAATCTTCACTCTGTTACCCATCTCACCCTTACATACTTAATATTCTGTGATGATTTATTATGACTACTAATGATTTTCAAAATGTGTCCACTCAGATCTGAATTTCCACCAGTGGACTGCAAAAAATCTGAAGACAACTATTTCTTACTTGAGTGCTTATAATTTTGAATGCTTGTTTCTAGGCAACAGAAGACATCAGCAGCATCTTTAATAGCTTCTTACAATTGTTGCTGATTCTTTCTTCTACAACTAAAGACTTGTTCAAAAACAGTATCCAAAATTTCTGCTCACAAAACAGATGCTAACATGAAAAGTACTTTACATGTCTGCAGCACAATATAGACATTGATTTGGATGGCTGTTGGTAGGCTTGGTAAATTGTTTCATTGTGGTTTGTTTCTCTATGAAAAAACAAAGATGAAGAGAGATGGTGAGGGATAAAAAGGAAGCAAAGAGCAGAGCCAACCACAGAAATGAAAGCTTACCAAACTTCAGCTTTGCTTGCTTCCCTTTACCACTCTGCTGTCTCAGTTTTAATCCTTTGTGGTCCATTTGCATGCATTTACAGGATGCGCTTCTGTATTTCTCTACATACTGAATCGGTTATTTTGCTTCACAGTGTAACTTTATATATTCAATGATCATAATTACTGGTTCATGCATTAGAGTGTATTCGACTTACATGCATAATTGTGGTGATAAAAGTCTGCAAACATCTAATAATTGTTACTGGCTTTATGCAGGTACATTCTCCTTTACTGCTCAGTTCATAGTCAAGAGAGAGCTTAATAAAACACAGAAAGCAAAACTTTCAGTTATATTAAACTCAGGTTAACATAATGCACACCAATCCATCACTGTAAAATTCTGTTTGTGTTATCAGGATTATTCTCTTTCAAAGACTGAATGTGGGTAAACCAATGCAACCCTTGCTTTAAATTTCAAAGCCCTGCTGACTTATTCCACAACATGTTCTCATGTGCATCCATATAAATTGTGCCTACTCCTGCCAAACTAAAGCAAGCATACAAAATAATCAGAAAGCATTCTGGTTTCTGTATATGCTATTTTTTTATATCTGTAGTTACATATATATATATATATA